AACAACAACAACAACAACATTATAATGACGATGAATTTAAGACGACCAATTTTCTCCTCGACGATGGGTGGCAGTCTTAGTGCGTTTCAACTATAACTATAACTGTGTCTTTCTATTGGGAGGTTGTATCTCTCTTCGCCCAGTTTGGTCCAGGTCGAAGCAGCCTGCGACTTAAATGTTATAGATTGTGTCGTCGGGCAGCGTAAAACGTCTGCCGTACAGTGACAGCCAAAGCCGTAACAGCCATGTGTTGCCAAGGACACGTTGGTTGTAGTTTTAGTTTCATGGTGCTTGCAACACAAATAGATCATATCATTATTATAAGTGCTGACGACAAGAGGTATTGTTATAGAGAAAAACATACAAAGAAAAGAAAAAGGAGAGACACAGACAATAGAACTATATTTTTGATAGGAAAACAGAAAACCCCACCAGAACAGCCTCCAACCACCCAGAAAGACAGATTAGTATAATGAACCTCTGTAAGAGGAAGTAGACAGAATTACAGACTACACCAACCACATTTAATCCCTCCTATATTATGCCTCTTTTTTTGGTAAAAATCAAATAATTGTAGGCGTTTCACGCCCTCATCGGCACTATTTATATAATTTAGGAGGCGGGCAGCTTCAACATGATGCTGGTACGTGTGTCTTGATGTGAATTACAGGCTGTCGTTTTCAAAAAAAAAAGAAAAAAAAAGAAAAAAGAAAAAAAAGAAAGAAAGTAGACGCAACATTGACATTACAAAAAAAAAGGATTCTTTGAATGAGAGGCCAACACCTTAACCTCTAGGCCACGAGAGCCCCTCATCTCATCTTACGTACCAAACGCATCATGGTGTCCAAGAAGATAAAACCTGTTTGATTTGTAAAGATTTGATCAAATTGTGCCAATACGGTAGCTTACGTCTTTCCTTCAAGGAAAGTCTTTAACTAGTTAAATAATTATACAGTTAAATAATCATAAGTTAGTTATGTGAGTTGTAAGCTTAATTAAATATTTGTATCCTCTCTCTTCCAGAGGTCACCACCAATAACGGCCCACGTGTTTAGATACGACCCGCGAAACCAATTCATCTGGTCCCCGGCGAATGCCACCATTCGGGGAAATACACACTCACACACACACACACACACATACACACACACACACACACACACACACACACACACACACACAAACATACACATACACCACCACCACCACCACCACACCTTGGAAATAGGTGGTGTGTTTACAGCGTGATCAGAACTTTTGTCACCAAATTTAATTTATCAAAAATTGGCCTTTTCACCAAATTTTACAAAGCAGATAAAACTTATAAACTTCTAACTTCTAACTAATGTATTTTAAAATATATGTAACCCGTTCGGTATATTGTATGGGACAGAATAGTTTTATCAGTTTTATCTGACCCAGGCTCGGCACTCTCTCAGCTATCTGGCCCACGTTACACAAACGTCTGGTGATCTCTTTGGGAGGCTTACATGTTATATATCTATTACATTGTACTAATTGGTCCGCCCATCTCATTTTTCCCCCTACTATAAATTACGTCCGTAACCGCGAGATTGTTTTATACTCTGTTAATTAAAGTCAGTAATTACATATGACGACTGGTATTTAGTTCTCTTTTTTTCTTTTTTCTTTTCTTTTTTTTTTAGAGCAGGTTCTTTTTTTACACCCCGTCGACACAATTTCGATCTACAAATTTTAGTCCTGCATACTCTAGTCTTCCATTTCTGGAAAAAGATAAAGGTCTTTTTGTCGTTGTTTTGCTGTTGTTGTTGTTGTTGTTGTTTTTTTTTTTGGGGGGGGGGTTATGGGGGGGGGGGGGTGTTTTGTTTTTGATTTATCTAGACGGCAGTCAGCACCGTACCGGTGTCGGTGGAGTAGCAGTTGGGCACTTTTCCATCGTACGCAGAAGACGTGCGTTTGTAGATTCACGTGTGGGGAGAAGTTTAATCGAGTAGGCCCTACAGTCAAACCTGCTCTGCCGGTCACCTCTGTAAGACCATTGCCTGTACAAAAGGCCACTTCCAATTTCTTCCTTTGCGTATTAAAAACAACAACAACAACAACAACATTATAATGACGATGAATTTAAGACGACCAATTTTCTCCTCGACGATGGGTGGCAGTCTTAGTGCGTTTCAACTATAACTATAACTGTGTCTTTCTATTGGGAGGTTGTATCTCTCTTCGCCCAGTTTGGTCCAGGTCGAAGCAGCCTGCGACTTAAATGTTATAGATTGTGTCGTCGGGCAGCGTAAAACGTCTGCCGTACAGTGACAGCCAAAGCCGTAACAGCCATGTGTTGCCAAGGACACGTTGGTTGTAGTTTTAGTTTCATGGTGCTTGCAACACAAATAGATCATATCATTATTATAAGTGCTGACGACAAGAGGTATTGTTATAGAGAAAAACATACAAAGAAAAGAAAAAGGAGAGACACAGACAATAGAACTATATTTTTGATAGGAAAACAGAAAACCCCACCAGAACAGCCTCCAACCACCCAGAAAGACAGATTAGTATAATGAACCTCTGTAAGAGGAAGTAGACAGAATTACAGACTACACCAACCACATTTAATCCCTCCTATATTATGCCTCTTTTTTTGGTAAAAATCAAATAATTGTAGGCGTTTCACGCCCTCATCGGCACTATTTATATAATTTAGGAGGCGGGCAGCTTCAACATGATGCTGGTACGTGTGTCTTGATGTGAATTACAGGCTGTCGTTTTCAAAAAAAAAAGAAAAAAAAAGAAAAAAGAAAAAAAAGAAAGAAAGTAGACGCAACATTGACATTACAAAAAAAAAGGATTCTTCTTTTTTCCAGTTGCATGTGTGTGTGTGTGCGGTGGGGTGAGGAGCCAAAAGTGGAAAAGGTGTGTCTTATTTTTCTAGTTTGTCAGGGTCCTTTAAATATGATACC